GTGTGTGTATATATATATATACACACAGTATATAGTTTTGTAAGTAGATCCCAGAGAAAGATGATAATATATATTATCTATCTATCTATCTATCTATCTATCTATCTATCTATCTATCTATCATCTATCATCTATCTATCTATCTATCTATCTATCTATCTACCTCCAGAATTGTATAATGCCAAAAATGAATCAGCAGGCCGTGTGTGTATGTATATACAGAGTGAGAGACAGAGAGAGAGAGAGACAGAGAGAGAGAGAGAGGGAGGGAGGAATGCATATATATACGTATATATATATATGAGTATATATATATATTCAAATTCTCCCTCTCTCATTTTTTTTCTCAAAATGGGTTCTTAAGCAGCATGGAACTTAGAAAATTCAAAGTCATCTTTGAAAGTCTTACTTCACAGAAAGAACACTATTGATCTCAAGGCAGGAGGTAAATGCTCCCAGTTCAGACCGGATTACCCGATCCGGTAGCGATGGCGGTGAGTGGTTCGGAGAACCGGTAGCAAACATCCCTGCCCCCCCCCCATGCTCAGCTGAGCTGCGTAATCATCAGAGGCTTTTTAAAATTATTTTTGAAAGCTTTTTTTCTACAACCTCTTCAGCCGAAAAAATGCTTTTAAAAGTAAAAAAAAAAAAGCCTCTGATGATCGCGCAGCTGAGCTGGAATCGTCAGAGGCTTTTAAAAGCTTTTTTTTTTTACAACCTCTTTGGCCAAAGAGGTTGTAGAAAAAATGTTTTTAAAAGAAAAAAAAAAGTTGGCCACGCCCACCCAGTCACATTACCCCCACCACCAAGCCACGCCCACAGAACCCGTAGTAACAAATTTTACATTTCACCACTGTTTCAAGATAGTGACTCAATCATCAATAGCTGAGTTTAAACATACTTGGGATAAACACAACCATCATCCGACAATTTTTTTTTTTTAAAAGTAACATTAATTAATTAAAAAGAAAACCAAAACAAATTCAAAGAATAGATTCAATAGACCACAAATTCTTTTTCTGCCATCAATGTTTCTATGGAAATATTTTCCTTCATAGATTTTGGGTGAAATGAATTTCTTCTTCTGTAGTTTTGCTGTTCTTTTTTTTTTTTTTTAAAGACTTGAATTCTAGTTGCTCTTCCTGGATTATTTTCAGAGGCCTTACTAAGAGCAAACTATATTAGGATGGAATGGGGTGCAGATGGATGATCTTATGTTCAAAGAAACTCATTTTTATATGCAGTAGATATAGGTAGTCCTCAAGTTACAACAATGCACCCCGTTTCCCTGAAAATAAGACATCCCCTGATAAATAAGCCTAATCGGGCTTTTGAGCGCATGTGCTAAAATAAGCCTCCCCCCGAAAATAAACCTTCCCCGAAAATATTTAAAAGCAGAACTGGAATTTTTTTTTAAATTTGATTTATATGGCGCCCTTCTCCAGAGACTCAGGGCGGCTTACAGTGCGTTAAGCAATAGCCTTCATACTTTTGTATATTTATACAAAGTCAGCTTATTGCCCCCACAAACTGGGTCCTCAATTTACCCACCTTAGAAAGGATGGAAGGCTGAGTCAACCTTGAGCCTGGCGGGATTTGAACTTGCAGTAATTGCAGACAGCTGGTGTTAATCACAATGCTATCACTCTGCTGAGCCATCAGGTAAGACAGCAAGAGAAGCCCATCTTGCTCCACAGGCCCCAAAATAATAAGACCTCCCCGAAAATAAGGCCAAGCACTTATTTCGGGGTTCAAAAAAATATAAGACAGGGTCTTATTTTCGGGAGAAACACGGTAGCATGCCCATAAATCGCACTGGTCGTAAAGCTAATAATCCATGAGACTAATCTGATTTTATGACCTTTTTTGTGGTGATTATTAAATGAACACTGCAGTGGTTAAGCAATTGTTCATTGTTTTGTCAAAAACTGGAACTAAATATGGTTTTTGGCAAAAACATTGTAAAACCCAGCCACATGAGCATAGGACTCTGTACAGAACAGGGTCTATTTGGGTCAAGGATTCCCTCTCTACAAAAGGCTAAAAGTCCAATAAGAAACGAAAATAGAAAAAGAAAGACCAAGATATAGAGAAAAACATCACAACATAAAGAAGTGTGTACTTTTTGTACAGCTTTATTGCTTTTCACCTTGTAAAATAAGTCATATAATACATATAATACAAAATAAAATAAATAAATACTACTTCTAATTTTCTTTACAACAGCTGTAAGTACAGGTAGTCCTCAACCAATGATCACACTTGAGCCCCAAATTTCTGTTAAGTGAGACATTTGTTAAGTGGGTTTTGCCCCATTTTACAACCTTTGTAAAGTGAAGTGAATCACTGCAACCGATAAATTAGTAATCCAGCTGTTCAGTGAATCTGGCTTCCCCATTGACTTTGCTTGTCAGAGGGTTCCAAGAGGGAATCACGTGACCCCAGGACAATGCAACCGTCATAAGTGTGAATCAGTTGTCAAGCATCTGAATCAGTGGTGAAATCCAATTTTTTTTACTACCGGTTCTGTGGGCGTAGCTTGGTGGACATGGTGTGGCTTGGTGGGTGTGGCTTGGTGGGCATGCCAGGGGAAGGATACTGCAAAATCTCCATTCCCACCCCACTCTAGGGGAAGGATACTGCAAAATCTCCATTCCCACCCCACTCCAGGGGAAGGATACTGCAAAATCTCCATTCCCAGCCCACTCTGGGGTCAGCCAGAGGTGGTATTTGCCGGTTCTCCGAACTTCTCAAAATTTCCGCTACCGGTTCTCCAGAACCTGTTAGAACCTGCTGGATTTCACCCCTGATCTGAATGTAAATCAGGTGATTATGGGGATGCTGCAACAGTCCTAAGGGTGAAAAATGGTCTTAACTCAATTTTTTCAGTGCCGCTGTAACTTTGAACTGAATCAGGTCACTAAATGAACTGTTGTAAGTTGAGGACTACCTGTAGAATTATTATATTAACCGATTCCTAAAGTTATATCACGACTCTCTTTCTGTCTATAATCTATCCTGCATAATCCTCAAAACCTTAAATCACATCTGATTTGTTTTTATGCAAAAAGTCACCAATAAATGTAGTCTCTAATCAAAGAAGTCAGTTCTTCCACTCACATTCAATATCACAACAACTTTGGATGGTAGCAGGTCAGATGTGAGAGAGTGCCCGGTACAATATCTCACAAGGAGCTTTTGTGGCTGAGAAGGGATTAGAACTCAGATCTCCTCACTCCTAGTCTGCCACCTTCACCCCTATGCTGTTTTAGCTGTTGGGATAAGAAGGAGGACTGGCCCAAACCAGCCCGTGAGATTTCATGGCTAAAGGGAAACTAAAACCTGAATCTTCCTGTTCTAAATCCTACTAACACAGGGGTGTCAAACTCAATTTCATCGAGGGCCTCGTCAGGGTTGTGTTTGACCTTGGTGGGCTGGGGTGGGCGTGGCCAGGTGGGCGTGGCCATCTTGACATCACTCATGTCAGGGGCGCCTGTGGCGGCCCAAGCGCTCTTCAGTGACAACGGGCTCCTGAGCTTCATTTCTCACTGTGACGGCCTCCTGCAATCTTCTGCCAACAAAAATGGAGTATGCAGCCCTCCCGAGCTCCTTTTTTGCTGGCAGAGACATCACGGGGCGGTCCTTTGCTGTATTCACCCGCAGGCCGGATCCAGCTCACGGGCCTTGAGTTTTTTTTTTTTTTTTATTTGATTTATATGCCGCCCTTCTCCGGAGACTCAGGGCGGCTTACAATGCGTTAAGCAATAGCCTTCATACTTTTGTATATTTATACAAAGTCAGCTTATTGCCCCCACAAACTGGGTCCTCATTTAACCTACCTTAGAAAGGATGGAAGGCTGAGTCAACCTTGAGCCTTGGAGAGATTTGAACCAGCAGTAAATTGCAGGCAGCTGTGTTAATAACAGGGTGCTTAGACCACTGTACTACCAAGGCTCCTATAGTTTGATACTAGACTATCCTGGGTGTTGATCTGAAAGGGAAAGACTGCCCAGAATCCTCAGTGAGGATTCCATGGTTAAAAGTAGACTTCATCCTGGTTTTCCCCACTGCGGATCCCGCCACAGATAGTCCTTACTTAACGACCAATCACTTAGCAACTGGTCAAACTTATGACAGACAGGCTACTGATGACCTGGTTCTGAAGTTCTGAAGGCCAGCCCCTCCCCCTGAAGTCATGCAACTGCATTTTGGATGCTTGGAAACTGGCCAGCATTCATGGCTAGTTCTGGTAACAGAACAGAATAACAAAGTTGGAAGGGACCTTGGAGGTCTTCTAGTCAAACCCCCTGCAAAGGCCCTATAACAGTTCAGACAAAGAGTTGTCCAATGGAGCACCCACAACTTCTGAAGGCAAGACATCCCACTGATTAGCAGCATCTTGCAGTCATGTGACCACAGTTTACAATGGGTTTTTTTTTGTGTGTGTGGAAAACTTGCATTTATTTCTGGTTTCCACCAAAAAACACCCATTGCAAACGATGGAATCACTTAATGCAGTGTTTGCTTAACAACGGTTGCGCTAAAGGTTATAAAATCAGTCAGGGTCACCTGATGACCTATTTAATGACCAGCACTAACTTACAACCATAATTCTGGTCTCAGTTGCTGGGTTGGGCTGAGAAAGGTAACATCATCAGTGCTGCGATGTAGGTTGGTCAGACAGAGAAGCACTGGCCCAAAGTCCTCCAAGCACCTCCACAGCTAATGATAAACTTGAACTGGGTTATCCTCCGTGTGAGTCCAACATCCTCCTTTCCTCGTTCTGCCAGAATCGCTGTCCTCCAGCGTGATCCGGAATTGCGTCTTAAAACTATTCTTCACCACCCAGGAATAAACCTTGATCTACTGTTGCTGGCGCCCTGAGATGTCTCTTAATTTTTGGAATCTCCCTCTGTTTCTCTTTCAGATGAAAAATTCCCAGGAGTTTTAGCTGCATCTGATAACAGAAGTCACGCGCCTTCTCTAGGAGTGGGATTTTCCTCATCTCTCTCCATCAAGGAACGGTCTGCTCTCTATCTCTCCCGAGTAGCAGCTGCTGCTGGTTATTCCACTAAGCGTCGGACAGAGCTGGTGAGTTTCCCCATGCTTTGCATTTCTGCCATGTTTCTGCCTCTCTAGAACTATTTTAGCAATGTCTTTCTCCAGCAAATGTTCATTCGGATGGAAATTATATATATATATATTAAAAAAAACTGCCCCTGGTGTCACTAACCGCATATTTCATGCATCTGAATGTTACGGGAAGCAGAAATGGGCAAGGGATTTTGTAAAAAATTTGCAAACTCCAAAGTGCAAAAAATAGAAATCCTGGGTTCTGATCCTGGGTGGCATCAGAATATTCCCTGTTTTCCCCAAATTAAGACATCCCCTGATAATAAGCCCAATTGGGCTTTTGTGTGCATGGCAATAAGGCCAAGCACTTATTTCAGGGTTCAAAAAAATATAAGACAGGGTCTTATTTTCGGGGAAACACGGTATGAAGAAGGGTTTTGGAGGCAAGTCTATACCAGCTTTTCAATTGCAGGGTCAAAGGTGGTAGATTTCACTGCCCATAGTTCTTTGCCATACTGGCTGAGAAACATGGGATATGGATCCCCAAAACCTTGAGCTAGGAAAGGTGAACTTTACTACAAATGTGTGATGCTGTATATTACTGTCCACGGGAACTATCATTATAACCAGCAAATTTGTCAGAAATTCTGCTTTCAGATGGGTATTAGATTTGTCAGGTGCCCAGAGTCGTTTGGTTGAGATCAGCAGTCATAGTAAGTATGTAACTAAAGAAGAGAGAGGAAGGAAGGAAGGAAGGAAGGAAGGAAGGAAGGAAGGAAGGAAGGAAGGAAGGAAGGAAGGAAGGAAGGAAGGAAGGAGAAAGAGAGAGAGAGAGAGAAAGAAAGAAAGAAAGAAAGAAAGAAAGAAAGAAAGAAAGAAAGAAAGAAAGAGAAAGAAAGAAGAGAGAGAAAGGGAGAGAGAGAGAAAGAAAGAGAAAGAAAGAAAGAAAGAAAGAAAGAAAGAAGAGAGAGAAAGAGAGAGAGAGAGAGAGAGAAAGAAAGAGAAAGAAAGAAAGAAAGAAAGAAGAGAGAGAAAGAGAGAGAGAGAAAAAGAAAGAAAGAAAGAAAGAGAAAGAAAGAAGAGAGAGAGAAAGAAAGAAAGAAAGAAAGAAGAGAGAGAAAGAGAGAGAGAAAGAAAAAGAAAGAAAGAAAGGAAGAGAGAGAAAGAGAGAGAGAGAGAAAGAAAGAGAAAGAAAGAAAGAAAGAAAGAAAGAAAGAGGGAGGGGGAAGGAAGGAAGGAGTGAGAAAGAAAGAGAGAGAGAAAGAAAGAAGAAAGAAAGAAAAGAGAGGGAGGGAGGGAGGAAAGAAGGAAAGAAGGAAATACAGATTCTCACTTAGAAGTCTACCTCCATCCGTTTCCTAGATACCCAGTTACGATTCATTTAATTCTGTGGCCTGAAATTAATTATGACATTTACTCATTTCTTAGTGACTGAACTGTTCCTTCTTCCTTGATCTGACAGAAAACTACATCGTTATGACCCCATTGTTATTTTCTTTGCCTTTTTTAACCTGACTTCTCCCCAGATTAATGGGTGATAAACCGAAATATTTTATATACTTTGATGCTGTGTTTTCTCAGTAATGGGAAAAAAAGGAGGAAAATGCCACTGTAATGTCGATCCAACTAATGACCACTTAAGATTGACTCAATCTTAGGCTGGGGAGGAGACGAAGGACGCAGCAAAGCAGTGTTCGCCAATCTTAGCCATGTTAAGATGTGTGGACTTCAGCTCCCAGAATATCCCAGCCAGCAATGCTGCCTGGTGTATTCTGGAAGTCCACACATCTTAACATGGCTAAGATTGGCAAACACTGCATCAGAGGGACACAACAGAAAAGTAAACCAAGTACCATGTGTTTGCATTATGGTTTGGCATAAGGGAAGAGTGAGTCTGCATCGTAACAAACAAACTGTCAGTTTTGGAAGACAATTTTCTTTTTTGCTTCTTAACCGCCAAATATTTTAGCTGGGGAAGTTGGGAGGGGGTTGCAAATATAATCAGTCCTCAACTTATGGCTACAATTGAGCCCAGAATTTCCACTGCTAAGCAAATGTTAAGTAAATTATGTCCCATTTTACAACCTTTCTTGCTACAGTTGTTAAGTGAATCACTGCAGTTGTTCAGTTAGCAGCACAGTTGTTAAGTGAATCTGATTTCTCCACTGACTTTGCTTGTCAGAAGGTTGCAAAAGGAATTCACATGACTCGGGACACTGCAACTGTCATAAATATGAATCAGTTGTCAAGTGTCTGAGGAAAAGAAAGAAAGAGAAAGAAAGAAAGAAAGAAAGAAAGAAAGAAAGAAAGAAAGAAAGAAAGAAAGAAGAATGAAAGAAAGAAAGAAGAAAGAAAGAAAGATTGTTAAATTTATATCATACACTAACTGTGTATAAATCATGCACCATCTAAACTGCTTTTCTGTTTTTCTATGTTCTATTCAGAATTTCATACACCAGATTCCTTATAATACTCTTGATAACCAGTAAGTAAGCAGGTAGGAAATTCTTAGACTATGGTTGCCTAACCCAATTTCTGCAGTCAACTGCCTGCAGTTGTGTGATTCAGGATATGCAAAATAATTGCGTTTTTGGAACTTCACTAATACCAAACTAGTTTGCAAATGCTGTTTCATTTCTTCTTCTTCTAGCTTTACTCACACCGTAGTTTCTTGCTTATTAAAACAATACGTTCATGCATATAACTGAGGAACTCACCATGTTACAAATGTGCAGGAAATGGGAGTGGATTCATATATTTTACTTCAGGGATCTCTTTGATTCTGTACATTATGTAAGTCCATTCATGATCCATCCTGAGAACAAGGAATAAAAAGCAAATAATCCAGCTATTTTCATCCACTGTATCCTTGCCTATATCCTGCTATAGAAGCTGGCCCTCCTTTCGGTTATGAAGCTAAGGAGGATCGGGCCCATTAATAGCTGCACGAAAGATACAAGTAATCCTCGACTTATGGCCATCATTGAGCCCAATTTTTCTGTTGCTAAGTGAGATAATTGTTAAGTGAATTTTGCCCAATTTTACAACCTTTCTCGCCAGAGTTGTTAAGTTAATCACAAGTTTGTTAAGTGAATCTGGCTTCCCCATTGACTCTGTTTGTCCAAACAGAGATTATCCCATGACCTGGGACACTGCAACCGTCATAAATATGAATCAGTTGCCAAGCAGGGGAATTTTGATCACATGACAATGGGGATGCTAAAACCGCTTCAAGTGTGAAAAACAGTCATAAGTCACCTTTTTCAGTACTGTTGTAAGTGTGAACTCACTAAATGAACTGTGGTAAGTCAAATAAAACCTATATACCAGAGAATCATAGAGCTGTAGACTAAATTGGGAAATTGAAAAGTCATCTTGTTTTCAACCTTGGCAGCTTTCAGATGTCCAGACTTCAACTCCCAGAATTCCCCAGCCAGTCATGGGAATTGAAGTCCATATTTCTGAAACCTGTGACTGTGGTTCAGTTGCAAATGTCCATCAATGTGACTCAGTTGCTGAGCCCCCCAAGAGTGGGAGTGGAGGTTGACCATCAGAACTTCAAATTCAGGTCGTAAATATCCCACAGGAGGAGGATCTGTCAGAACTTAAGTCAGTCACTAAGGAGCTAGTCATAAATTGAGGATTACCCACAGTATATGAAAACCATACGGCACCACACAGACCCCCCCAAGGCTCCAATATATAATCCTTTGAATATTAATTACTTCAACAACCATAGAACACAAAATAATAGATTTGGAAGGGACCTTGGAGATCTTCTAGTCCAACCACCTGCTCAAGCAGGAGACTCTATACCAGGGGTCTCCAACCTTGGCAACTTTAAGACTTGTGGACTTCAACTCTCAGAATTCCTCAGCCAGATTTGCTTGAAGTTGAAGTTGAAGTCCACAAGTCTTTGAGTTGAAGTCCACAAGTCTTAAAGTTGCCAAGGTTGGAGATCCTTGCTCTATACCATTTGAGATAAAAGGCTGTCCAGTCTCTTTTTGAAAGCCTCCAGTGATGGAGCACCTACAGCTTCTGAAGGCAATCCGTTCTGTTGGTTGATTGCTCTCACTGTTAGGACATTTCTCCTTAGTTCTAGGTTGCTTCTCTCCTTGTTTCGTTTCCATCCATTGCTTCTTGTCCTGCCTTCAGGGGCTTTGACCCCCTCATCTTTGGAGGAACCTCTCAAATATTGGAACATTGAGATTGTTGGAAATTTGTTGGAACCATTGAGATTCCAACTCTCCAGCTAAAACCATTAAAGAATAGGATGCCTAAATGGGTTCTTTCCAAACAAGATCTTCTTGATGCTGATTTGTTGGGTCACAATGAATGAGTCAATCATTTTAACACGATGGATTGAAATGTAAGGGATGGTTTTGGAAGACTTCTAATCTTTGGAGCTGCTCCACACTCTTATTTGTTGGTTTCCCTGAGTAATGAAAAAATGAAAACGATCGGGAACTTTCAAACAGGCAAGAATAACAGGATAACCCAGTTGGAAGGGACCTTTAAGATCTTCTAGTCCAACCCCCTGCTGTAGCAGGAGGCCCTATACCATTCTATCTTTCTTAGAAACCTCCAGGGATGGGGCACCCACAACTTCTGAAGGCAATCCATTCCACTTGTTAACTGTTCTCACTGTCAGGAAGTTTCTCCTTATTTTCTAGGTTGGATCTCTCCTTGATCAGTTTCCATCTTGTCTTGCCTTTGGGGAATAGGTTGACCCATTCTTCTTTGTGGCAGCCTCTCAAATATTGAAAGGTTGTTATCATGTCACCCTTAATTCTTCTTTTCAGATGAGCTCATTAGAGGAAGCCAATAAATAATGTCAAACAGGGCATCTTTAGACACAGATACAGGTAGAATGCCTCCTCCAAATCCCTCCCCAAAAGAATAGACACCATTCATCCTAAGCTTTTGGGTGTAATGCTTCAGCGTGAGCCAGATCTATAGCGTGCAAATGGCTCACTTTTTTATTTATTTATTTATTTGATTTATATGCCGCCCTTCTCCGGAGACTCAGGGCAGCTTACAATGCGTTAAGCAATAGCCTTCATACTTTTTGTATATTTTTACAAAGTCAGCTTATTGCCCCCACAAACTGGGTCCTCAATTTACCTACCTTAGAAAGGATGGAAGGCTGAGTCAACCTTGAGCCTGGGGAGATTCGAACTTACAGTAATTGCAGACAGCTGGTGTTAATCACAATGCTATCAGACTGTTGAGCCACCAGGCCCTTGCAGCTACTTGCTGTAGCTACTCACTGAACGTTATGAATTCTGTTTTTTCAGCTATCATGCAGCATCAATAGCAGGGGTGAAATCTACTTGTCTTCCTTACCAGTTCGGAAGCGCCCACGCCACACATGCACGCTCACTTCACGCATGTGCACGCATCATGTGTGCGATCACACCTGTACATGCGCAGAAGGTAAAAAAACATGACTTCCTGGTTAAAACCAGGAAGTAATGATACACCGGACAGCAATCACTACCAGATCGCCAACCACAGGGAAAAATTGCTACTGGATCGGATGATCTGGTCCGATCCGGAGCATTTCAACCCTGATCAATAGGGTTAGGTTTAGGTTTAGGTTTAGGGTTAGGGTTAGGGTTAGGGTTAGGGTTAGGGTGTTAGGGTTAGGGTTAGGGTTAGGGTTAGGGTTAGGGTTAGGGTTAGCTGAGGGGATAACTGAGCCTATAGCAGAAGACGTTCCTGAGAAATGGGAGGTATGCATTCACAAGGAACAGATGGCCAATGTCTGAATGCTAGCAGTTATGTACTAAGAGACTGCTCTCTCCTTGCCATCTCTGTCCCTGCTCTCATATCTGATGCCAACCAGATTAGATAACATTTGTCAACTTCTGGAATGTCTGAATAAGATTATTAAACACCAGAGTACCACCTTGACTTTCAGTGTCATGTTAAACATCTCTTCACCCCACTCATTAGCACAGTAAAGGTAGTCCTTGCTTAGCAACCCATGGCTTAATGACTATTCAAAATTAAAACGTATTTCGAAAAAGCTTCTTGCTACCCATCCTCAAAGTTGTGGCTGACATACACAGCCTTATAGTCATGTGATTGCATTTTGGGTGCTGGGCAACCGGATCTCTGTTACAACCCGTTGCAGTGTCCTGCAGCCACAATTTACAATTGCCAGCAGAAAATGGCAAAAAAACGTACATTGGATATGCGAGATTCACTTAATGACCACGTGATTCACTTAACGACCATGGTGGCTTGCTTTACGACAGTCATAAAACCAGTAGAAACATCAACTCCAGTCAAGCGGTGCCTCGACTTACAACTGCAATGACTTACAACTGAAATCCCAGCCTCTATTGTGATTACAAGTTGAGGATTGCCTGTAGTATTGATGGTGGAATTCTCAGTGGTGTGGGATGCAGGGTGTGTGTGAGTGTGTGAGTGTGTGTGTGTGTGTGTGTGAGTGTGTGTGTGTGTGTGTGTGTTGTGTGTGTGTGTGTGTCAGAAGTCTGGAATGAAGAAACCTCTTTTCAATATTAACCCAAGCTGTTGCATGAGTTTGGACACTAACAGGGTGGTTGATGGTGGCATAATACTGATGCTGAAAACCCTGTTTCCTTAGAGATGGCAGACACTCAGAGTGAAAGGACTTCCAGTGCAGATATGAAGAAAGCAGTGGAAGATCTGCCACCACCACCTCCTCCTCCTCTTCCTCACCTCCAGGACTCTCCCGCTGTCCCTGTGACACAGGATTCCAGTTCTCTTCCTTTACCTCCGCCTAAAGAATCCTTCTCCAAGTTCTACCAGCAACGCCAAGTGAATGAGTTGAAAAGACTTTACCGCCACATGCATCCTGAGCTAAGAAAAAACCTGGAAGAGGCTGTGTCTGAAGACCTGGCAGAAATGTTGAGTCCAGATGACCCTAATGAGCCAGTCACGGCTACTCCAGATGCGGTGGTTCCAGGCGAAGTTCAATCCATGCGTTGGATCTTTGAGAACTGGTCCCTGGACTCCATTGGGGAACGTCAAGCTGCTAAAAAGCTGTCTGAGGAGGAAGCCATCCCAAGTGGAGATGTAAAGAATAGGTCCATGAGGTTTGAAAACCAGCCTTCCCATGGAGATGGGCTGCTCACTTCAGCCAAAGCATCAGAGCTACAAGAAACGAAAGGAGACGTACGTACAGCTCGGTGGTTATTCGAAACTCAACCTTTAGACTCTTTAAACAAAATGTACCTGGATGAGACAGATATGCAAGAAGTACTCTTGAAAGAACCTGTTGAGAGAGGGGACGTGAAAGGAGCAGCACAACTCTTTGAAACTCATTCCTTAGAAGCTTTGGGCCACTGCAACTCTGTGGAAGAGGAGAACATCCTACAGCTCAAGTCAGAAATTCAGGAACTCAAAGGGGGCATCAAGAAAACCATCAAGCTTTTCCAGACTGACCCCATCTGTGCTCTCCAGGATAAAACAGGAAGCGTTCATGAGATCAAATCCATCTGCAGAGAAGAAATACAAACCAACTCCGTGAAGACGGCTCGGTGGCTGTTTGAGACCCAGCCACTGGACACCATCAACAAGGATACTTCCAAAGTGCAGGTTATTCGTGGAATATCTCTAGAGGAAGCTGGCAAGGGAAACGTCAGCGGAACAAAATGGGTGTTTGAGACTCAACCTCTAGATGCCATAAAGGAATTAACAGTGTCCGAAGAAGATTTCAAAGCTTCTCCAGATCTTATCCAAGGAGCTGATGTCGGCAAACAGTGCCTACTTTTTGAGACTCAACCTCTTGACAGTCTGAAAGGTGAGTCCTCCAGCAGCCCTCCAGCTAAGGAAGAAGTTATCAAAGGGGACGTGAAATCAACTCTCTGGTTATTTGAAACCCAACCTATGGAAACCCTGAGGGACCATTTTGAAGTTGGGCGTTTAAAAAGAGTAGAGCTTTCAAAAGATGAGAAAGGAGCTGTGAAGCAAACAAAGCACCTTTTTGAGACCTGCCCTTTCGGAAGCATCTCAAAAACTCCAGCTGAAGATTTCACTACTGCTCCTGTCCAAGAGGTAGAGAAAGGGGATGTGAAAGCATTCAAGAGCCTCTTTGAGACACTCCCTCTGGATAGCATCAGGCAAGTCAGCACCGAGGAGGTCACCAAGGGAGAAGAAGACATCCCTTCTGGGCAGGTGAAAAGTAATCAGCTCCTGTTGGAAACAACACCTTTGTACGCCATTAAGGACTGCTTTGGCCACTTCCACCAGGTCACATCTGTGAGTAGAGACGAGGAAGTGACCAGCGGAGGTGTGAAGAACTACAAATGGATGTTTGAAACCAAACCTTTAGATGAGTTTGATGGGAGCATCCAAAAAGTGGATGTGATTAAGGGCATCACTAAGCAGGAGATAATGGCTGGAGATGTTCAGACAGCCAAGTGGCTCTTTGAAACCCAACCGATTGATGTCATCCACAGCCAAGTCAACCAAGCAGAGCAGAAAAGGGAAGCTTCTCAAGGAGGAGATGTAAAGACTTGCCGGTGGTTGTTTGAGACACAACCAATTGATGCCCTATGTGAAAAAGATGAGATGAAGGAGAGCCAAGAAGAGCCTGTGCCTCAAGCTGATGTCAAATCATATACATGGATGTTTGAAACTCAACCTTTGGATACCCTGAAAGGTCAAGAAGAACAACACTTACAAGTCAGAAAGACCTTCTGCCAGGAAGAATTACAAGGGGTAGACGTGAAAACTGTCCGGCACCTCTTTGAAATGGAACCTCTGTCCAGTAATATCCCTGGAAATAGCCAGAAAATTATCAGGTGCTCCAGCAGGGTGGAGATACAGTCTGGAGAGGTGTCCAGAGTAAAAGAATTCTTTGAAGCCAAGCCTTTGGAGGCAGCAGCTAAATCAAGGGCAGTCATGAAAGAAAGCCCAGTAGATGGAAACATTGAACCTGGGGCTGTGCCCAAATTCACTTGGCTCTTTGAAAACTGCCCCATGGATACTTTGAAGAGCAATGCCGAGGGTCTCCAAGAGGCAACTCTGGAAAAGAACATTCAAGGTGGAGATGTTGGGGGCAAAAGATTCATTTTTGAAACCTTCTCTCTCGGTCAGATCCATGAAAAAGAGAATGAGACGCAAATCCAAAAAGTCCATGAAGAAACATCAAGAAAAGCCAATGTCAACTCTTGCATTATGCTGTTTGAGACCCAGCCCCTCTATGCCATTCAGGACAAAGACGGGGGATACCATGAAGTGACCTCGGTGAAAAAGGAAGAAGTCATAAAAGGTGATGTGAAAGGTGCCCGGTGGCAATTTGAGACGAAACCATTGGATGAAATCAAGAAAGATGAAGAGGTCTTTGTGATCAGAGCTGTAACGCAAGAAGATTTCAAGAAGGGAGATGTCCAATCAGCTAGGTGGAGATTTGAAACAGAGCCTCTAGATTCCATCACTGAAGAAACGAGGCCTACCTTGAAGAGCGTTGAGGATGTAGAGAAAGGAGATGTCCAATCTAACAAGCAACTTTTCGAGTCAGAGAAACTCGGCCAAAAGAAGTACGTGAGGATGGTTAGCGTCAGTGATGTCCAGCAAGGAGATGTAAGGACGTCCACCTGGCTTTTTGAAAATCAACCCATGGATTCCTTAAAAGGAGATTCTGAAGGTGCCTGTAGTTTGACCACAGTCCAGAGAGAAGATGTCCATAAAGGAGCTGTCAAACGCTGCACTTGGCTCTTTGAGACTCAACCGATGGACAGTCTCAAAGACACAGAGGCTTCAACAAGCACAGAATCCCAGAAAGGAATTCCTCAGGCCTGTGTAAAAAGCACTACGTGGTTGTTTGAAAGTACCCCTCTGGATAAATTCAGCTCTCTTCAATGCAGCAGAGAAATAGAGGCGAAAGAGAGGACACCATCAGATACTTTGGAATTGTTATTCTCCCATCAACTGATCCAAACGAATGGCATTCTTATTGAAGCCAATAACACCCAGGGCATCAAGATGGCGGCATACCACTTTAGTAACCAGGAAACTCCCAAAGTTCAAAAGGAAATAGTTGTAGAAGACAATTTGCAAATGGTCTTGTTACAACTCCTTCAGAATAGTAACGTGGAGGCCTGGGGGTTGCTAGTGCAAGAAGAGGAGGATGGCGGTATCAAAATTAATCCCATACAGCTATTGGACTCTGACAAAGCTGAGAAGAGCAAAGAGGAAATGAGGAACAACATGGCAAGGTCTCTTCAAGAACTTCTTAACCAAGAGATCTCAGTTAAGAAAGGAATAGTTATGCAGGAGACAGACATAGGATCAACGAAGGTGGTTATTTATTCCCTCCGTCAGTGGGTGGCTGAACAGCCTACCTTTGTGAAAGGTGATGTAAAGTCAGTGATCGGGAATCTTCTGACTTCTTCACAAGAGCAGAGAACCACAGCAACCATCAGACGAGAGGACAACGAGAAGGGGAACGTCCAGTTGTATACTCGCTGCATTGAGAAGGGAGACCTTGACTACTTAAAGAACCTCCAGAGAGAGTCGGAGATAGAATCGCTGGTTTCTACACAAGCGAAAGAAGAACCGCCAAAAATTGGGCAAGAGGTCGTGGCACCAACCATGGTGCAGAACAAGGAAGGTGTGATGATGGCAGATGCGATCCAAGGGAATCACGACTGTTCTGAGCAGGCATTCTTGTGGAAGACCAAAGAAGGTATGTCAGAAAGAGAAGTCCCCCGTGCAAATCATCAAAGTTGTACTCCCTTTCATTCAGCACAATGTGGGACTCCATCATCATTGAAAGAAAGCATAGTTCCTCCACCTGTCACATTGCCCTTCCAGTGGGTGGAAGGATCCCAAAATAGTAGCCAAAGAACACCAGGACAACAAATAATCCTGGAAGATGGGAAGGAAAGAACACCCATGCAAGTGGCAGATCAGAAGATGGTTGAGGTTCTTCCCAGCTTTAAGGCAGGAGAAACCAATTCAACAACAGTTCAATCCCCAACGCAGATTCCTGGGAACGATCTTCAAGCTGCAATGCACAGCCTAAGGAAAGCCACAGCAGAAGCCAAAACTCTACAGCAGCAAGTGCAGAGTAAGCTGCAAAAGACGCCCGACAACACGCAACTGTGTGGCAACCAACCCCGTGATGCAATGATGCAAAGCACAGTGCCCAAAGAAGGCTGTGAGGCCAGCAAGCGACAGCCAAGTAGCAAAGTGTCCTCTTCTAGGCGGCAGGAAGCGGTCGAGCCTGGTGTCAATCTGTCTCAGAAGAGCCCGGCGTCCTTGCCCCTAAAGGTCAGTGACCCTGAGGGAAGACAGGGAGGGACAGAGCCTTTTGTGGCCCACCAAGTTGGCCAAGTGTTACCTAGGACAGATCTTAGTATTAAGGACGGCCTTTACACAGCCAAGCCCGTGAAGTCCTATGTAAATCCATTCCTTGAATCGGACTACCAAGAGCACTCCGTTCCTGAAGAACGTGAGCAAGACGTTATAATCAGAGGGGATGTAAAGACAGCTATCAGAGCTCTGCAGAACGCTGCAACTGAGCAGAGACAAGTCGAGAAAGAGGACGTGGTCCGTGGCAACTTAAAAGCCACGCTCGAGTCTCTGGAGAAGTCTAACATTAATGTGTCCCAAGGGGACTTTAAAGCAGCCATGATATACAGAAACGCAGGGCAGTCACATTCCATGGGTAAAAAGAAACAGGAGGTTGAGTGTCTTAGTGGCCAGGCAGTTACTGTAGCTGTGGCACCTGCAAACTCACTAGGTGTTAATGACTTTCCTCCTCCTCCTCCTCCTCCTCCTCTTCCTCCAGCTTCATTGATGAGACCTGATGTCCACGCAGCCTCATCCCAACCAAGACAGGCTGAAGTTCGGTGCTGTTCCCCATCCACGCAGCCATGTGACCTCAAAACTCCCTTGTCTTCCCCAACCAAAGCAGGTCATCAGAGACCTTCAGAGAAGCCCCAACTGCCACCCAAGCCTGATGTGATCACCCCACCAAGGAAAAAGCCTGTTATCCCCCCAAAACCAGAATTCCTTTTGAAGGAGGGACTCCCCCATCCTGCTGGTGTCAACAGAGGACAACCAGGAAAAGCACCCTCGCTTCCTTCCAAGTCTCCCATCTTGATTGAACAGAACAAGCCAACTTCGCCTACAATGAACCAAGCATGTGGAGCTGAGATCTGGGGACATTTGGAATGTAGAGAGGATTCTGCTATGTGTTCTTCACCCAAAGTGACCAATGTTGAGGACATCAGTGTTGAGAAGAAGTCAATAAAAGGTATCATCAAATTGCCTCTGCAGGAAGAAGAGAAATCTAAGGCAAGGAAGGAGGATAGGGCCAGAGTGGATTTGATTGGCCACAGCTCTTCGTTAGAGACAATAAAAACTGGATTGGATAGTTCTGAAGGAGGAAATTGTCATCTAACCAAAGACCTTCAAGGGTTCCAGGAGACACCCCAAGAAGAAACTCGATGTTCTTTACCTGAGAAGCAAGATTCTCTCACCCCTTTTGAATGCCAAATGAATCTTCCTAATCTAGAAGTTCAGAGAAAGCCATATTTGTCTGCAAAATGCCATGCCAATGTTCTGAGGAAAGGAACTGTCATGACCCATGTCACATCATCAAAGTCAGAAAAAACAAGCATGGAATCACAGGCAGACAGATCAGCATCTGCTCTTTCCTCAGACTTAAAAGCCAAACAGGTTTTTACAGGACATCAGATTGCACACAGTGGTGGCTCCAGAGATCCAGAAACAAAGAATGACTGGGATACAGAGAAGAGAAATCTTGGGGTGGTCATGAGGGAAAAGGTTGGCAAAGAAACTGAAGAAGAACGTCGCAAGAGATTATCCGTCCATAAAGAGGAGATCATGAAAGGAAATGTCAAGGAAGCCATGGAGATATTTGAAAACTTACGGAAACAGGAGGCTCTTGAAGAAATATTAACACAAGTGAAGGAGTTTGAAGAGGAGACCTCAAAAGTGGACGTCAAAGCCTTGAGAAACCTCTTTGAGAATGTGGCCGATTGGGTGGTAGATGAAAAGCCTCAGCAGACAAGACAGCCCAAAGTGGAGAAACCTGAACAGCTGAAGGAATTTAAAGAAGATTCAGAGAGTGTCTCATCGGTGGAGTTAGCCTTTGAAGATCTGGAGCGAGCCAGTGCTGAGATTGTTCATTTGAAGGAGCAGACCCTAAGTAGACTTCTGGATATTGAAGACGCCATTAAGAAAGCTCTGTATTCCATTTCTAGTCTCAAATCCGAATCAGACATAGCTGGACTTTCAGGTCTTCTGAAGGAATCACTTGGAAGTTCTCAAAGCCTTGCAGTGGGGAACAATATACGCAAAATCAGTATTATATCCAGCAAAGCCAAACAAGAAAAAGGGGCACAAAATCCATCACGGGAAGGAGACAAGGTGGCTGATCAGCACGACGTACCCAAACTATCCCTAGTAGTTCCACATGTGATTCAGCCTCGGTCAAGTTCTCCTTCTTCTCCGTCCTACATCTCCATTCAATCTGCTGCACGGAAAAATACAGAGTCACCCCAGATTGTGCCTTTAGTTTCACCCCAACCTATGGAAGTGGCCACCGAAAGAGAGGCATTCCCTCCAAATCTTTTCAGCTCCTTGCCAAGTAAACCAATGAGATCCGATGGCTACGAAAGGACTCTTGGTGAAGGGGATCCGGAGGTCATCCAAATTAAAAAAGGAGGAAGCTTGATTAAACAACAACAGCTCAGCAGCCCTAGACACTTGGCTCAACACCTCAACAGCAATGGCACCAAGGAGAAGGACCCAGCCCAAGAGGGAGCTTCTGATTTCAACTCCAAGACTTCTTTAAGTGCTTTAAGTCCCTCCAATCCTAGAAGACAGAAAAGTATTCTAGAATTGCAAACGAGCCATGATGGATCCAAACTCTATGGGGCTACCCGGACAGTGATGGAGCAGTACGAGGAGGTAGATGAATTTGGAAACAAAATCATCACATCGTCCACAACCGTCACCAAACAATCAGAGACTCAGACTTCCTCGACTTGCGGTATGGTGTCTTGCCCAACCAGGTATGAAGTGACAGCTTCTCCGATACTTCGCCGATATCTCAACAGTCCAGCAAATTTCCCTTCAGATGATGGTCACCAAGAAACAGGAGTGGTCTTCGTCACCTTTAGCAACTCTAAGCCAGTGAAGAAGTAAGCAAACTTCCTTGAGCAGAGCTGTTGAGGTCAACAAGATCATTGATGTTGACCGTTCAGCGTTCAACCACTTCAATTGGATTTTAAAAGGACTGAAACCCATAAGCAATGTTATTGTTCTTGTGGCCATTACTGTTTTTTAAAGAAAGAACCAAAAAAACCCCACCCCTCTTTGCCCTCCGAATTATAGTCTTAACGTTGGGCACGAGAGACGAGAAGATGTTCCTTCAAAGCTGGTTCTTGAAGATTAAAAGGACTTCCATTTCAGTAGAGATCCAAGTTTCCAGTTCCAGAGAGAAAAGAAAAAGCCAAAACTACAAAATAAAATACAAATACAAGATGGCTTCTTTCAACACCTATCATCGCAGCTGAAGATGTTTGCCTTAGGGCATTCATCTGATCAGTGGCAAATTAGGGTCCTCAAGAAATATTTTGAAGATTGTTTTGTTTTTTAATGTGTGTCTTTAAGTCAGTCTCAATTCCTGGCAATTGCCTGGATTAGTCACTGAATTTTTCCAGGCAACATTTTTGGAAGTGGTTTGCCATTGCCTCTTTCCCAGGGCTGAGAGCGAGACTGGCCCAAGGTCCACCCAGCTGACTTCATGCTTGAGTGGGACTAGAACTCATGATTTCCTGGTTTCTAGCCTTGTGCCTCAACTATTACACCAAACTGGCTGTCATTTTGAGAAATATACTAATTTTCTGGGCCTTTTTGCTATTAGCCTGACTGTTTGCTCCTTTTTCTGTTTCCCTTTTTGTATGTCCAGGGAGATTTCTCTTTCCAAATTCTTTCTCTGATAGAGATACATCACAAAATGAGTGTGGGGGATATTCCCCAAATGAAAGTAGAGAGTTTATCCCTTTTTAGTTTTATTACACTTTTTGGGGGCAGGTTTGTTAGCACTATTTAGCAAGAGTTACATATTAGGGGAAATTACAGAATTTTAAGAATTTTCCTCACTCCAGTTCCCCCGATGAAAAACGGGGACCATATTGTCTAGTTAAATGAGGAAGGCAGTTAAACATATTGATAATGATTTTATTATCCTCTTTTTTATTTTAGGATTGTAATTAATTGATTGTTAGTATGTATTTTATTCTAGAGGCATTTGCTTCCTTTACCTCTTGCAACCATGTTTAAATCAATTATATAAATTTTATTATGCCTTTTTTGTATATTCTCAACCGAACATTTTAGATATCCTGTGGGGTATTTTTTAAACCTCCATATGAAGATAAACAATGACTTCTGAAAATTAGTTTGTAGTTGTTTTTCTTGTGTTGATTATTTGCTATATTTTGGCTGGAAGGGTTCAAATCCCTCTGAATTCTCCTTTTCTCTTCATGAGTTGGTTCAGACTGGTAACAACACTTCTTGAATAAAAAATTGCTGGATATATCCATTCAAACAAAGCCAATACTTAATAGCAAAAACAACAATTATGGTACTAATGACTTTTCATATCCTTTTTCTTTTATGTAAATTTTAGTACACAGAAAAAAATGTTTTTCCTATCATTTGGTAATAAAAAGTTATCAATTATCACCTACTGTAGAACACTCTTACCTTTTTGGCAACTTTAAGATAAGTGGATCTCAATTCCCAGAACTTTCTCGTCAGCATAAATGACTGGAGAATTTTGGGAGTTGAAGTCCACCTATCTTAAATTGACTAAGGTGGAAAAACATTGCTACTGTTATGAAGTTACAATGGCATTGAAAGAAATGGCTTATGACCAGCCCAATGATTGAAATCACATAAAGATCATTCCACAATGTTTTTATAATACAGGTGGGCCCTTCATTTAGAGACTATTCGATTTTATGACGCTGCTGAGGAAAGGACTTATGACAGGTCCTCAAAGATTGAGGAGACTTTCTGATAAGTGGTTTTCGGTAATGAAGTCAAAAACTTTGGGAAGCATAGTTTACGGGCCAGTAAAATAAAATAAAGCAGATGGTTTTTTCCTACAGTAAATCTTCCTGCAGGAAATTGAAGTCACTACATTATATTCATGGGTGATTTTGCAAAGTATGTGAGAACCATAGACAAAATTAACTGGAACCACAAGTCAAAAAGAAAGATAGAACCAATTTTTTCCCCCATTTTCTATATCCTGAATCTCAAGATCAAGTTGAAGGATTGATATGCTGTACTTCTGGCTACAATTCAAGGAGCTGGTTATCGTCTCCACGACTTGGAGTGGATCAGGCTATTTGAAGGACTGTCTCCCCCCAGTTACATCCACCTAACCCACCAGGATGGGAAGTCAGGGCCTGTTAAGGGGTGCTATTGATTAGGGAGGTATATCTGGTGGGACCACGAAAAAGGACCTTCTCAGTTGTGGCTCCTTCTTTATGGAATGTCATTCTCTCTGAGGTACAGTCGGCTCCCATACTGTTGCACCCCCTGGGGGAGGGACTGGAATTCATAGTTTTTTAATTATATGGTGGATTTTTAAAAAATGCTGTAAGCTGCCCGGAGTCATTTAAGTGTGAGTTGGGTGCCCATACCCATAATTCAATGCACCCCGCCCCACCGCGGATGTGCGTGCGACCCCCCACCACCACGCTCCCACCGCTTTTGGCATGTGATGGCATAATAGGCCCGGTAGGCCCGTTATTCACTTTCCCCAGGCTCCAGAGGTTTTCTAGGAACCTGGGGAGGGCAAAAACGGCCTTCCACACACACACACCCCGGAGGCCCTCCGGAGGCAGGAAACAGCCTGTTTCCCGACTTCTGGTGCGCCCGGAACGCCCGAAAATCAACTGGCCGGTGAGTGCATGCGCGCTGGAGCTTAGCTAGGGCAACGCTCACATGCCCACAAATATGGCTCCGCGTCTAGGGTTGTCAGGTCTGCTTCCAAAAAATAGTGGACAAGCGGGGGCGGGGGTTTAAGTAGTAAAAAAATTTAAAAAAAATTACAATTAAATTATATATTTTCTTACAAACATTTTAACACGTATTAAAATAATCATTTCAAAACTTTACTTAAAATTCAAAACATCAAATATATTATAATAATATGCAAAATATTAAATTACATTTTAATTTCATCATAAAGCTTTTGAATAAAAAAAACGTCCACTATTTTGTGAAAAAAGATAGTGAACATAATGTGAAAAAAGCGGACTGTCCGCTCAAATAGTGGACACCTGGCAACATTATCCGCGTCCCACCTGTGGCACACCTGCCATAGGTTCCCCATCACGGGTTAGGTGGCTATATAAATTTGTTTACTAGATAATAAATAAATGATTTACATTTAACTATCTGCTCACTTGCTGTTCACCAGACGTATTTTAATAGTATTGGCACATTATGCTAAGCAGTGTTTTGCTTAAACAAGCCACATTTGTTAAGTGAGTTTTGCCCCATTTTACGACTTTTCTTCTACAACCTTCCTTTCACTTTATGGTTGCTAAGTGAATCACTGCAGCTGTAACTTAGTAACAAGGTTGTTAAGAGAATCTGGCTTCCCCATTGACTTTGTATGTCAGAAGGGTTACAAAAAGCGAATCGCATAACGCTGAAATACTGCAACTGTCATAAATATGAGTCAGTTGCCAGGCATTTGATTTTTGATCATGTTACTCCAATGGTAGTAAGTATCAAAACCAGTCATAAGTCGCTCTTTTCAGTGCCGTCTCAACTACGAACGGTCACTGAATGAACTGTTGTATATCAAGGACTACCTGTATAAGAGTTGCTTTTTTTCCCTCCCCAAAAAATCCATGAATGTGAACAGAGGGAAGACGTGAGGAGGAAAGGGGCACTGATGGGGACCAAGCATCTCCCGGCCCGTCAAAAGATAAGGATGATGACCAGGCGCATTACTGCCTCCTGTGGGAACAGGAATCTGAAAGCAGGCGGGAACCTTTGATTAGAGGAAGAATTCTGCCTTTGTCACTTCATAGGTAGCTGGAGGCAATAAAATGCGTAATAGCAATAGCTCTTAGATTTATATATCGCTCCACGGTGCTTTTACAGCCCTCTCTAAGCGGTTTACAGAGTCAGCCTCTTGCCCCCCAACAATCGGGATCCTCATTTTACCCACCTCGGAAGGATGGAAGGCGGAGTCCACCTTGGTTGCTACTAGCCTCCTCCTGATTTTTGCCCCCAACAATCTGGGTCCTCATAATACTCCTTCCTCCTCCTATTTTCCCCACAAACAATAATTCTGTGAGGTTGGACTTAAAAAGAACAAAATGGCCCAAAGTCACCTAATTGACTTTCATATCTAAGGTGAGACTAGAACTCCCAGTCTCCTGGTGATTGGCCCAAAGTCACCCGGCCAGCTTTCATGCCTAAGGCGGGACTAGAACTCCCAGTCTCCTGGTGATTTGCTCAAAGTCACGCAGCCAGCTTTCATGCCTAAGGCAGGACTAGAACTTACTGTCTCCTATGGATTGTCCCAAAATCATTAATGCCAAAGGCGGGACTCGAACTCACAGTTTCCTGGTGATTGGCCCAAGGACCTCAGGTGGCTTAGACCAGTCCAGTTCCTGCTCTGAAACATCATGATGCGTGCATCTACTTCCCCAGCTAACACGATTGACAATACATTATTCACTCTTGAATTGTCCAAATTTGATGGAAAGTCATGGAAATTTGGCCGTCTGCCTTTGTGGGAGGTCCCAATTTCAGGGTGCTAATGCTCTGCTTTGTGCATTGTGCTGCACATAAAAAAAAACAGCAGGAACTTCAATTGCACCGTTACAGCCATTATCCTCACTTTTATGTCCGTACCTGGGAACACCTCTTGATGTCATCCCTACAAAGTGATGATGATGATGACAATTATCCATTCAAAGTTGTGCCCAGTTCTTTGGCGATTAGATGGGCCCAGTTTCTCCACAACTTCCAATCTTGCAATGCTTCTTTGAGTTATTCTATGACTGTGATGGCGAACCTATGGCACGCGTGCCGCAGGTGGCACACGTAGCCATATCGGAGGGCACGCGAGCTCAGCTCTGGCACACATGTGCGTGCCAGGCAGCTGATTTTTGGGCCTTCTAGGCCTACCAGAACTGGGGAAACAGGCTGTTTCCTGCCTCCAGAGGCCTCGGGGGGTGGTGGCAAAGGCCCATTTTTCTCATTCCCCAGCCTCCAGAGCCTTTCTAGGAGTCTGGGGAGGGCGAAAACGGCTTTCCCCACCCCTCCAGAAGCCCTCCGGAGGCTGAACACGGCCCGTTTGCCAACTTCCACTGGAAGTTTGGCAAACCGGCTGTTTTCGGCCTCCGGAGGGCTTCCGGGGGTGGTGGTGGAAAAGGCCCATTTTTCTCCCTCCTCAGACTCTGGAGGCTGGGGAGAGCAAAAAACAGGCCTACCATGCCATCACACACCAGGAGCGGGGGTTGTACGCGGGGGCAGGGTGCACAGAATTATGGGTGTGGGCACACACGCGAGCAACGCCCCCCCCCCGGCATGCGATGGCAAAAGGGTTAGCCCTCACTGTTCTATGATCTGGCTGGTGTCAGCTTTGATAGTGTCCAGCCACTGTGTTCTTTGACAGCCTGTTTTCCTTTTACTAGGTAGACCTCGACATATGACCATAATTGAGCCCAAAATTTCTGTTTCTAAGTGAGACAGTTGTTAAGTGAATTTTGCCCCGTTTTAGAACCTTTCTTGCCACAGTTTTTAAGTGTATCGCTGCAGTTAAATTAGTAACACGGTTGTTAAGTGAACCTGATTTCCCCATTGATTTTGCCTGTCAAAAGGTCGCAAAAGGGGATTACCTGACCCTGGGACCCAGCAATCATTATAAATATGAGCCAGCTGTCAATTTTGATCCTGTGACTCTGGGGATGCTGCCATGATTATAAATGTGAGAAACGGGCATAAGTCATTTTTTTCAGTGCTGTTGCAACTTTGAAAGGTCACTAAAAAAAAACTGTTGTAAATCAAGGACTAACCGTACCGTTAATTCTTCTAAGCATAATTGCTTTCTCCAGTGGATTCCCCTGCATGACATGGTCAAAATAAGTGAATAAGTGTGATTTTCCCTGCATGGTAAACAAGACTAAATGTCACACAAGTAGCCCTTGACTTACAAACTGTTTCTTAGCTGTTTTTAGCCGCCCTGGGTCTTCGGAGAGGGGTGGCATATAAATTGAATTAATTAAATTAAATTAAATTAAATTTTGAAGTTACAGACCTTGGAATAGAGGGCTTACAATTTGGATTCAAAAGTCCAACATTCAGATCCCTCACCTCCTACCTGTAACCAGCCCCCATTTATACAGGAAGTTCTCGACTTACCGGTACTATCCCAACTGAACCCCAAATTTCTGTTTTTTAGTGAGATATTTGTTAAGTGAATTTTGCTCCCTTTCTTGCCAGAGTTGTTAAGTGAATCACTGCAGTTCTTAAGACAAAGAATAAGGATGTTAAGTGAATCTGGATTCCCCACTGACATTATATCACTAATTATTTTTTTTTTCTGGAAATCAAGCATTTACTTCCAGTTTCTGGGGGTGGGGGGGAAACACCCCATAGCCAATAATAATGGATTCACTTAACGACTGCCACAATCATTTTATGAC